GGGAACCAATTTCTGTAAAACCCATTCTTAGAAGATTTCTACTCAAGAAAAATGAAATATGTTAGTACAATTTCCGTTCTGTAGGTTTAAAAGTTCAAAAACGCTAAATTTTTACCTATAACGCGTCTCAAGAACTCCACTGGGAGTCTATTTTCACAAAACTCTTATTGGATCTCTATTCAACAAAAGAAACATGTTTGCCAAGTTTTGATTTTGTAAGTCTGATAGCTTAAAAGTGGGAATTTTATTGACTACAACGTCCCCGCATACACACACACAACATTCACCTTTAGAATTTAAGTTTTGCAAAAAACCCCCCCCCCCCGTTCTTAGTTTATCCCATCTCAACAAAAGAAACATGGCTTTTCAATTTTAAGCCTGTAGGCCTAATATTTCTGAAGATGTCTTGAGTAAATGAGTGAGTGAGTTGTTTTTTCTCTATATGTATTTAGATAAGGCATCTGCTGTTGTTATTGCTAATGCCATCTGTCTGACAAAGTCAGATCGAGGCCCACGAAATTCATCGTGGCAAAGGGTTAGATGTACGTCTGTCGTTGGCCTTAGCCTTGAGCATCATACAGGCGTTTGCTTCCCTATTGAATCGAACTGGGCCTTTAACACTTCTGTAACATGGTGAGGTAATTTGGAGTTTGTGGTATCATCTCGGATGTTGTTCTGGTCATTTTACGATTATTCAAAAGAATAAAGTTCTTCAATTTTAATCTATTACGTAGTTTTAATAGCAAAGAGTTCTAATTTCAGTTACACTTATAAGTTTCGATTAGTTATTTATCAGAATATATCCAACAATATAGAATCTACTCTTGCCTGATTTCTCAATTAGTTTAATTAATTAAACAAACGTATACTTATAATAATAGAAAAGTTAATAAAGATTTAGTCAACTGCTATGTATGAAGTATTTCTCTCTCCTTAAAATATTTTATTTTATTATCATTAAAAATACTCTGTATTTCTTGAAAATGTTAAATTGATTAATATATACACTGAAGAATAAGAATCTGTTGAGAAAGTGAAATAACTAACTCTAATTACTTAAATATTTATCTTAGCTCTTTTCACAACAAAATAATACACGAAGCTTAGCAAATTATTCTTTTTCTAGGAGGGGAAAAAAAGAACGAATTTAAAAAAAGTTTAATTCTTATGAAAAATGGGATCACAGACAACACCATACGGTTTTGCTGGTAGGTGGATTTTGCTGTTACATGGGTTTTGTTTCGAATTATTCTGAATATATTCGGACAATTTAAGGTCCAGTAAACACGCTAACTATAAGCTGCAAGTTAAAGCAATTTCCTTTGAAGAAATATTTTTTTCAGGTTATTCTTAACTGCAGGCATTTTCTAAGGTATTCACACATGGTCGCATACAAAGTAAAATTAAACACAGAGATAAAAATTAGCATTTCCTTGTTTGATTTTATCAAAGAACAACGCATGTTATTTCTACACGATAATCGAAGCATAAGTAAAAAGTGCAAGTTTATTCTACACTTATATTAAAATGTGTTAGAAACAAAATCCTAGGAATAATAACAAACCACATAAGGAGAAAAATCTTCAAAATTTCGAATTTATGCAACTTGCCAGAAAGGAAAACTTAATCTTAATTTCAAATATATATTAATATATTTTAGATACTTTACTTTGGTTTGTATATGATACCACTACTTTTTTCAAGAAAATTAATTTTCTTTAGTATAACTTTTTGTTTTAAACTGCATAAAAGGATATTTAAAGTAATGTTTTAATGGAGTAAATTATATTTGAATGTTTAGCAGATATATATGTTATCTAATTTTTTATTTTGTATTAGTTTCATGAAGGTAAAAACTTATGAGAAGGGATAGGAATGTGTGTGTGTGCATAGGTATGTAGGACTCAGTTTGTATAGTATTGCCATACACGCAATTTAAGTGAAAAAAGTATATTTAAGATAAAGAAAGAGAGAATGCGCGTATGTATGTATACGTGCTTGCGTGTGCGTCTGTGCACAATATAAGCCTTTTCCATATTTTTATAAGAAGAGATAATTTTTTTGTCTTTTTTTTTAAATTCTGACTCTCTGATCTCTATTATGAAAACCAGAATAAAAACTTGAACTCTCAGTCTTATTTATGCCTTCTGACTAGGCTTACTTTTTTCATTCTTACAATCACAGCACATTTTATTTAAATGCTGAAGTAAGATAAAAATGACAAATGAAACAGGTATTTTGATTTAAAAAAAATCAGTGAATGAAACACGTAATAATAATTCTAAAATACAAAATTCAACGCATTTTGAGAGGACGAGGCGGGCGGACTCCAACATATTTATCATATATTTTCGCAGTGATATGTTCTTTTTCAATCAAATTTAATTACAGAACCGTAATCCGGAAGAAGACAAATTTCCGGATTCTTCGCCGAAAACATTTACTCAAAAAATATGGTAATTTATCAGCTGTGTGAGCTGTTTTTTTTTTCAAAACTGTTATATCGAAAGAATGAATAAGTGCATGAACATTCAAGATTTTGTTTGTTCCTCCTACGAAAAATAAATCTTAAAGAAATTGCGATAGACTTTTCAAATTTCATTATTTGCTGTTTGCAGTGTCTAACCTTAGTATTTGAAGAGTTGTATGATAATGTTTTGCGTTATTTGTTCAAAAATTGACGTTTTTATTCACATCGCAATATCATTTAATGAATCCAAGATTAACTTTAGATTTTCAACCGAACAAATTTTGTAAATCTCTTACGTGGATTCGAAGAGTCTTGTTTACTGTCGAATATCGCAATTTTTCTCCTAGAGGTAATAGTGTTTCAAATATAATGGTAGTGGCAAAAGAGTTTGTTTTTGATAAAATCTTTTGTCATCGCCATCGAGGCAATATTCCTCCAATATTCTACATGAATATATTTTTTTTCTTCATGAAGTATTCTTTAGTTAGACAGAAAAACTATATTTTGAAGAATTGAAGTGATATTTTGTACTCCAAATAAGGCCTTTCATATTCATGTTAGACAAGTACATTGTGTAACCCTTCCCGCCTTGTAACACAATGGCTATGATTTATTCAAAGAAAAAAATTATCTTTTTAAACAGAAAAACTTCAAGAAAAGGGGGACAAAGTAACACGTATAAATTATCTTTCGTTTAAACTTCATAGATGTAATTGGCTTATATATAATGGGCCAGATATATATATTTTTCCGAATATAAAAAATAACTTGATAAAATCACAATATTAAGTGGCAAAGTAGAAAAGGATTTTCCTTGCAATTTTACATTTTCCTTTCTATATAGGGTGCTAAGGGCTGCGGTAGCCCAGTGGTCAAGGTATCGGATCATGGCAGGCATGTCATGAGTTCGAGCCCAGTACCCGCTGTGTAGGGCAGCGATGCACTTTAAATCCGTCGAGAGCTGAAACGTTCTCCCGTTGGTGTGGTAGTTAGGAGAGGGGGTGCCAGCTCAGATGTCGTCCACGTCACTTGACCATGGTTCAAAATTACGTGGTCCGTCGCCAAAAGCCCTCGTGTAGCTGAACAGTGTGACGTTAATATTCACTCACTCACTATATAGGGTGCTGGATTATTATTTTTGTTTGTTACTATTTATTCATGAAAGTTAAATTTAATTATTACAATAAAATAGTACAGTAAAAAGAAATCACATTCTCAGAAATGAGGCCATCCCAGGGGGGATTCGAACTCCCGACCTATAGATTAGAAATCCAACGCGCTACCCATTGCGCTACAGGGACACAATCAGCGGGGTTTTCCTCTTTATATATGGTGTTGAACTATTATTTTTGTTGCGATTTATTTATTCATTACTTGTAATTAATGAATTAATATATATATATATATATATATATATGACATATTTCGAGCCAGAATCAGACTTAATTTTAAAAATGACTTTATTCAATGAATTCTCGACATCATATGACGCTAGGAGGCAGAGAAAAAAAAGAACGCCTCAGTGGAATCTAAGTGTTTTACCACTTACGCCAGCTATGTGAAGTATCTCGTATTTTATGATATGTAATTGAAAGTTAATGCTGACATATAGAGCTATTAAATATAATGATCTGGGATCAGAAATCTGGGATCAGAAATGTTTAGTGGTTAGGCCAAATGTTTCGGAGAAATAATTGGGTGATTAATTTAATACTTGAAGATGTAATGAAAAATAAAAGTTAAGTGCTATATAGGGAATTTAAAATTAAATCTAATTTAATTATCCTTACATATATATATATATATATATAGGGAGAGTGAGAGCTAATAGTAGGAATTGAAAAGGGTACACAAATAGCTTACTATTACTTGACTGGTGCAAATATGACATGATAACGTTAAAAAGAAGTTGTAAAAGTAAAATTCCGTGATTAAATTTACAGCTACAATAATTTGTCGCTAAGTAACTTCAGATGTTTAATTGGTCGTGTAAAACGATGTGCCGACTTAAGGCACTTAAAAAGTGTCGGTTCTTAGCATAGTAAAAAAATTAACCTAGTTACCTCGTTGGGATTTCACTCTGTAAGTATGCATTGAATTCCCCAATCTAATTAATTTCGACTAAAGGGAATTAATCGGAGGAACCTCGTCAAAAAATATTACTACTAGAATGAATCGTATAATTAAGTAGTAATTTTGGTTAGAAAATTAAAACAAAATCTCAGTTTTTGGAAAGAAAAGCGTAAAACGTACATTTAACACTTTAAAGAGTTTTGCTGCTTAAGATAAGATTATGTAAGATGAGTTTTCGTAGAGCTGCATGTATTTCAATAAGAATTCGGTTAAGAAAAAAGAACTGAAACATCCTCAGGGCCATAAAAATGCAAGTTCCAATTCAATTGTACTTTTTCGCACCGAAATTTTAAACTTTTTTTCATAAAATGATTCAGCGAAAGTAAAAATTGATTTCGGTTACAGTTTGCTGCAAAGTTTTCTGTATTCTCTTTTTTTATTATTGATTTATAGTTCTTTTCTTATAAGAAGTACGAGTCTTTTTCACTTTAATCAATGTTAGACTATGAAAGTAACATTACAATTTTAAAAAAAAATTTGTTCCATGATCATTTAAGATATTTGACCACGTTCGGAACTGTGATTTGGGAAAAGTATGTAAATGAATACTTTTTTTATATTAAAGACATAATATTAAGTTAGAAAATATATTTAAAATTGTTTTAAGATCATTATTTTAAGGACTCCATTATCGCAATGCGTTTTTTGACCAAAATAAAGAAAGAATAACATATCTTCAAAACATTTTCCTTTTTATAAAAAATACTTCTATAATAATAATATTTTGCTTATTTTTGTAGCTGAGAATTTTGTACAGAGCCTAAATTTATCAGAATAGAGTAATTTTAACAAAACAAATTACACTATTTATTTATTTCAATTGATAGTAACTCTGTAAATAAGGTAAATTTTTCAAAAATCCTTCTTTGGCTCTATAGAGATGTCTTACCTATATATAAGCAAAATATCATAATTATAGGAGCATTTTCCATAAAAGGAGAATGTTTTAAAAATATGTCATTTTTTTAACAAAAAAATGTATTTAAATAATTTTTTTATGGTGATAAAAACAATATCACATGTATAATCTAATTCAAGTGATAAAAAGTATCAAAAATTATTCATTTATACACTTTTTCAAAATCACAGTTCCAAACGTGGTCAGATATTTTAACCAAATGAAATACTTTTAATTCAAATTTTTAAAGCATCTATAACAGTTACGTGTTTTTTATCAATATACTAAAACTACTTTTTTTCATTTTCATTACTCAAGAATATCTTAAAAATTAAAAATATATCTTTTACTAGGGATCTATGATTTATAGTTATTTTCTAAAGACGATTTTTACAAAGAGTTTTCCATAAATTTTATTAAACGAATCTAAAATTTAGTTATTTAAGGAGGACTACTTTTGAAAATTCTATTGCTAGCATTTAATATATTTCAATACATTTTTCCCAAAGTTGTAGACAGAAATATAAATACATGATTTGTTCAATGTTACCACATACACTGAAAAAATATAAATACATAAATCCAATATATGCACATGATATTGAAACTCTATACATTAATATATGAATTTTCAATGTACGAAAATGTTGTTTTTTGAATTATTGTGAAATAAAGTATACTATTCGTTTACATATTCACCAAATGCATGTTACCCAGCTATTAACTTTAAATTCAACACTAAACAATCAGTAAGTCATTTGTTGAAAAAACCTGAATTTATATGTATTTGTTTATTTGTTCGAATTATATAGGTATTTTAGAAAACAATAAATCTATCCAATAGACTAGAAGCAAGCTTGACTACCCAAAATTCGGCATTTTTGTGAATTTATTTTATGCTTTTATTCTATAACCCATACCTTTAATATTCCAAAAACACTATTTTTCTTTCTACGATATTTAGAAGAAAGTTATAGCCTAATTAGTAAACTGGAAATGGTGTTTACAAAACCGAAAGCAGATCCCTACACAAAATATTTTTTAAAATATTGCATTGAAATTTTCATCACCTGTTTTATTTAGTTCTATCTGTGTTAGGAATCAAAATCCAATATCTGTGTTTATATATTTATGTACTTTATACTGCTTTTTATGAACAAAAAATCATTAATTTTTTAAAAAATCGAGTTTTTGCATAAAACTTGGGATATTTAAAAAACTTTCAAAAGTATTACAAATCTTTTAATACCAAACGCATATAGAGATATTATTTATGTAATGTATAAATATTATATTTGAATACATTCATTAGAGTTTTATATAAAAGATCGCAACTGCAATTTTTCATCAAAATTTCGCTAAAAATGACTGTTGTTATAGTCTATAAAACTCTCCAGAGAACAGCAAAAGGGTAAAAAAAAAGTCTGAATTAGTTAACCATGAAACTAAAGAGATTGTGAGCTATAAATATGGGGAGTTTATAAAAAATGTATAATTAGCAGAAAAAATTTTTATATTGTATTCAAATCTTTATATGCATTTTCTGAGAAACTTTTTCGATTTTTGTAGTCATGGTAAAGTTCAAAACAGGATTCCTTTTCAAGATTTTGAATTGAAATTTTCAGTAAATGTTTTATTTAGTTTTACTTGTATTATAAACTATAATCTAATATTTGCGTATATATTTATGTATTTTATTGACTTTTTTTGTGAGAAAATAACATTCGTTTTTTGTAAAAGATTGAATTCCTGCATAAAAGTTTATATATTTCAAAAGCTTTTAAAAGTATTACAAATATTATAGCTCTAAGTACAGATAATGATGTTATTTATGTATTGTATAAGTATTATTTGAATATGTTAATAAGAATTTTCAATACAAGGTTTACGGTAACTGCAAATTTTCACTAAAATTTCACTCAAAGCTCACAATATATCAAAAATTGTTTTTAATTTTGTAGAAATTGAATTTGAATTCCTAGTTTTATGGCCCATTTCAAATAAAACAGTGTTTATTTAGTTGAAAATTTATATATTTCAAAAAAAGTGCTCTGAAGGTATAGTCACATACCTTAACAAAACAAAAGAATTTCATGTTTTCTTCAGATAACTTTTATCTACGTATCATAATTTTGCTTCAAATTATTTCTAAGGCTAATTATGGGCTAATTTTTGCTATATTTTTACAACACCCCCAAAGTCTTTATTAAAATAAATAAGTAAAGTGAATTCGATAAAAATGACTACAAAAGCAAAAAACAATTATGCAAATGGAGACGAAATAAAAAAATACTTCTCCAAGAAATATCTACAAATTATGCGTTACCTCCGTGAATATTTAAACCTCTGCCGCACTTTACGTAAAATAAAACCTGACGTGCCTGCAAGATTTGCTCCGAATTCTACTTCGAAATGTTGACCATTAGAAAGAGATTTTTTAATAGTATTCTTCAAGATTTTGTAAACTTCTGTAAAAGTTGATAAACTTAAAATGACTTAAAAGAAGAAAAATATGCATTATCGTATTAAATTTAAATGAGCTCTATACATATTGAAGAATATTAATTAGTTCGTATATTTTTTCCTCTGTAATTCTGCGCCATCCAGTTTTATAAAAACAAAAACAAAGTCCTCTTTTAATTTATTTCCGCCTCGAGACCTTTAATGTAAGTAATTTACTATGTAATTACAGTAAACTATTTATAAATTGTTAATTATTCCAAAAGATTAATCATATAATCTTCCAATTTCACGCAATTACGATAGTTTACTATAGTTTACGATAGCTATTATTTAGATCCGAAATATTATAAAAGGTTTTACAAATTTATTTTGGCAGATTTTGATGTATTTATCCTCAAAATTAACAACTTTGTTGATAAATTTCCGGACGTATTATGAGTTTATGAACAATATGTGAAATATAATACACTGGGAAGTAATTCTCTACCATTATAAAGGGAGTTTTTGAATTGATTTTTTATTCAAAGTACTGCATTCCATCTTTGCATGGGATAATTTTAATATCTATGTAAAAAATATTGCTAGAAATTCATTCAAACTCGAAAAACTGTTGTTGAAAACATAAAAATATAACGTACACCTTATGAATATATTTTTCACATATTTTACAGAAACTAAAAGCTTAAAACAGCTGTCAAACTTATTCGCTGACATTGAAACAGTTGGAACAAATGTACAAAAAATATTTAAGCTATAAAAATATGGAAAAGAAAGTATCTTAGGAAAAAATTTGGAGTAAATATTGGA